TCTATCACTCCCTCCATCAACAATGCGCAATGGCAGCAGTGCATATCCTCTATAAGATACACTGCACCAGTCACCAAGGCTCCTTGGACAGCACATTCCACATCCACAACCTCCACTACCTGGATGGCATAGGCAGCAAATGCTTTGGAGTACCAGCACATGCGAATTCCACTCAGAGCCACACACCAATCCTGACATGAAAGAGTATCATTGTTCCTTTCACTGTTACTGGGTCCAAATCCAGAAACTCTCTCATTAACAGCACTGTGGGTGCACTTAACCCCATGGATTCCAGCAGTTCAAGGTGGTGGCTCACCACCAATTTCTTAAGGACAATTGAATGGGCCATAACCGCTGGCCCAACCAGGGACACCTGCATCCTGTAATGAACAAAGAACAAAGAAAATTACAGCACAGAAACAGGCCCTTCAGCCCTCCAAGCCTGCGCCGATCCAGATCCTCTATCTAAACCTGTTGCCTATTTTCCAAAGCTCTGTATCCCTCTGCTCCCTGCCCATTCATGTATCTGTCTAGATACATCTTAAATGACACTATCATGCCCCCTCCACTGGCAACGCGTTCCAGGCACCCAACACCCTCTGCATAAAGATCCAGGCACCCACCACCCTCTGCATAAAGAATAGTAATGAATAGTAGTGAATAATAAATAAGGAAGAATGTACACATTGAGTTGTTTCTGTGTGGTCGATATGGTGTTTATGTTCAACATGAGCCTTCATTCACTCTTTTCATTGAACCCAATCAACTTAACACTTTTGTCCTTCATGTACTTACCTAGATTAAGAAGATAAAGCATCGACTAGAACCCATTCCAATGGTAACATAAGTCAACTGTGGACCAATATTACATAGAACCTGCAGTTCAGAAACAGGTTACTTTGGAGAGACTTAAATCGGATGGCCTATTGGTATTATCACTCGACTGTTAATCCAAAGATTCGGGCAATGTTCTAGGGACCTGGGTTCAAATCTGCCATGGCACATGGTGGAATTTGAATTCAATAAAAATCTGGAATTAAGAGTCTAATGTCGACCATGAAGGGAAGAAAAACCACCAAGTTCAATAGTGCCCTTTAGGGAAGGAAACTACCCATTGTTACCTAGTCTGGACTACATGCGACTCTAGACCCACAGCACTGTGGTTGACTTTTAACTGTCCTCTGGGATGGGCAATATATGTTGGCCTAGCCAGCAATGCCCTCATTCTGTGAATGAATTTTAAGAAAAAATCTGGGTTGAAACTAGCTGTGAGCCAGGGCAGTCTCTAAAGGTTGACTGGACTAAAATGGAACAGGGAAGTACAAAAGTATATGACCACAATAACTAAATCTGGTTTGTTTGCAAATTATATAATTCTGCAACTCATGTAAAATAATATATCAAAGCATTGGAGACAGTGTGCCTCTCTCATACGACAGTGAGGATTGCAGTTATGTGGAAGCATTGACGAAGATGAAGATTTCCTCCTTCAAGCAGAGCAGATTCTTAGACTTGCTGGAGGTGTTTCAAATCACTACTGTTTTAAGTGGAGAAAATACAGAGAGAACACTTCTAATGGTTCAAGAGTTAATAAGCAGAAGTCACAAAAGCTGGTTGGCAAAAAGCCTGGGAGCAACACGAGGATAAAACTTATTTATACAATGACTGACTAGGATTTGGAGTACATTGCCTCAGAGGATGCTGGGAATAAGTTCAATTGTAGCTTTCAAAAGGAAATTGATTAACATTTGATGGAGAATAATCATGCGCCAATACGAGGAAAGATCCAGAGAGTTAAGTAGATGAATTGCTCTTCAAAAGACCTGGTATGGATTCTGTGGCTTCCTTCTGTTCTGTAGTATTCAAGGATTCTATGTAAAGTAAAATTAGCACCCAGATCAGGCAAACATGCAAGTGGTTTCTGTTGCAATCTCCTACAAGGAATGCAATTAACTTCACTCCCATTCTCACTGACTTGTCGGGATAGTATTTAGCCCCAGGAACTAGCCCACATTATCAACTTAATCTCATGTTTGCTTCTTTGAAATTCCTTTACAAATCTACTCCAAAACCTTAGATTCCTTTCCTCAATCAAGGTCCTACATACCCAAAATGACAAATCAACTGCTTCATGGAACTTTTCCAACTAATGGTCATGCATTCCTTGGCAATTCCTCTTGTTCTTCCAGAAAATTGGAACTCCTCTAATACAAATATATATCTCTTGAATGTACAGCACCACATTGGCACAGACCTAATGGGCTAAATTGCCTATGTATGTGCTCCAAAGGCCTCTTCCCATCATGCTGTTCCTATCATTTAACTTTACTGCCATAACCTTCTGTTTCTTTCTCCCTTGTGTAGTTATCTAGCTTCCTCTTTAAATGCCATTTTCCCAATGTACTAATGGGTTCTCAATTCTAACTATTCTCTGGTCAAAGGAATTTCTCTTGAATTTGTTATTGGGTTTATTTATGAATGTTAAATTTGATAACCCCTATCTAATGATTCAATGATCTGAAACATCTGAAACAGATCACCCTCTTAATATTCTATGCTTAAAGAAATACAAGCCTAGTTTCTATAAAACCTGTCCTTCTATTTTAGCCCTTTATGCCCATGACCTCCAACACCACCTTCAGTCCTCTTCCCATTGGCAGGTCTGACCTAGAGCATCACAATCTCCACCAGAGCTCAGGCAAGTTGGCAAGTTCTGAAAAAAAAACCCAAATGGAACATCGATCAAACCCCACGCTGTTCACTCTAATCTGACTCACATCACCAATCAGTTTGAGCTGACGTGGTAATCGCAAAACACTATTTACATACATGTTGTAACCTGGAGCTATGGATTGTGCTGATAGAGCTCCAATGTTCTCTCCATCACATGGCTGACCGGAATGTCTCCCACTCTCACTGCTGTTGGGAGTGCGTTGGAAGGATTTACGAGTCCATGCACAATCTGTTTGGTCACATTATGAATGCATTTTCCTTGGCTGTCAAATCCCAGACTGAGTCTTTATCCTAGAGCCTCTGCATCAGAGGTAGGGATTTTTGCAGATGCCATCCTCGGGTGTGATGAAGGGCAGAATTGCACCAGTTCAATCAAGTGCTAGCTAAGTGATTTCCCAGCAGGTGAAATGAAGTGGTTATTTTGATGTCATTTTTCTCACACCTAGCAGCACACAGACATCCCTTCTCCAGTGTGAATCAGGCTGGTGTTTCAAAAGACAGAATAATTGTGTGAAATTACTGACTCGGTTTGAGCAGCTGAATGGCCTGTCTCCAATGTGAATGTGCTGATATCTTTCCATGTCTTTTGGGGCTTTTAAATTCTTCTTGCAGCCAATTGAGCACACTCATGCTAAATTTGCTGCACTTTTTAAAAGCACAGTTCCATTCACATTAAGCATTTATTTGAAACTAGGAAGAGGAGTAGGCCATTCAGCCCATCAGTCTTGCCCCTCCATTCAATACATCATGGATGATTCTTCAGCACTTCGATGCCCTTTACTCACCCCATCCTCATAACTCTGAATGCCTCTGGTAATCAGAATCTATCAATGTCCACCTTAAACACTCTCAAAGACTTAACCTCACAGTTCTTTGTGATAGAGATTTCCAAAGGTTCGCAACATTCTGAGAAAATAATTTGTCATCTTGGACCTAAATGATATCCCACTTATTTTTAAGCTTAGTTCTGGACTCCCTTTACAAATTTTGTAGGTTTCTTCTTCATTCTTCAAAATGCTACAGAATTCAGGCCCAGTTTGCGCAATCCCTCTTTATACGACTGTCATGTCATCCTGAGAACAACTCTGGTGAACTTTCATTGCACTCCCTCTCTGGCAATAATAGCCTTCCAAAGGAAAGAAGACCAAAACTGCACACAATACTCCAGGTGCGAAACAACGAAGCTCCAATACAATTGAAGCAAGACTTCACTACTCCTGTACTCAAATCCTCTTGTAATACAGGCTAACATTTCATTAGCAGCCTTCCTAACAAGTTGTTGCATCTACATATTACCTTCAGTGCATCTAGAGGTCACTTTGTGCACCCACATTTTCCAACTTCTTGAATATGATCTGGGTACTAGAAATATTTACCTATATCTGAATTAGACACTAGGTTTGAGAGGATGAACCAAGGTTTGTTTTGGGTGTGGTGCAATTCTCCTGACATCCCAGGGTTGGGAAACAGATCAGCCAGGTGTTTCTATTCCTGATAACTATCCAGTTTCACTGTTATACATGGCTGCTTGTGAAAAAGATCCCACTGAGGTGCTTAACATATAAAACAGCCTTTTAGTTTTCTGAAAGCAATGTCCAAATCAAATTGCCAGAGATTTCCTGTGGGGTGACAGATATTTAGCCACAGTATGTTTTATAGATGTGGTTTAACAAGAAGATAAATCCCATTTCTGTAGGGGTGAAGTCACTATCCCTAAACCATACTGACCAAGAAAAACACCAACAATGTGCATTTGTATGCACAAAGACATCCCAGGGAGCTGCACAGGAGCATTATCAAAAAAATGACAGACCAAGCCACATAAAGAGATATTAAGACAGATGCCTTCAAGCTTGGTCAAAGATGTAGGTTTTAAGGAGTGCCATAAAGGATAAGACAGGGCACAGCAAAGTGGTTTCGGGAGAAAAATTTGTACTTTCAGACTCTGCTAGCTAAAGGCTCTGCCAACAGTGTTATAAAAACAGGTAAACAGGCCAGAATTAGAACAGTGCAGCTATCTCAGAGGATGGTGGAGCTGGAGGAGATTACAGAGTTGGAAGGAAGAGATCATGGAGGTACTTGAAAATGAGGGTGAGAATGATAAAGTTGAGAGGTTATCAGAACACAAGTCAGTGAAACTCAGTGAACACAACGGTCATGGGCAAATTGGGAATGGGCAGATTTCTAGATGATATGCAATCACCAGTCACTACAGTTTATTAGATCTCAAAGGCAGTAAAAATGTATGAGTGTCCAGCCTACCAGTAAGTTAGAAAATGGAACACTAGCTGCTCCTGACAGGCACACAAACCTTACTTGGAAGGCAGGTATTGGCAGGTAGAGTGGGCCCTTCAATATCCTCAATTCTAGGACTCCCTCATTTCAAAATCCACAGGTGACTCCAGCAAAGTGGTCTGTTGTACATGCTGGGGAAGGAGCAGAGGGATGAAGGGATCAGCTCATCAGCAGTGACACAGACCGCACAATGACAACGTATCAACACGTTTTACTTACAGGGTAGCGGGAGTCCTCTGGAATGACATGATCACTCCTGGTTAAGCCTAAATAAATATTTACCGGGAAACTTGTGTCAGCCAAGAGAGCCCCCACTAAGTCTTCTGTGGTTTCCGAGAACACAACGTGGAATTACCATCAGTTACATGGCCACAAGAGAGAAACCAGCTCCTTCACGTACCAGATTATGTGACATATTCTGATTCTAGTCAGTCTGTTATCAGGAGAAACTTTCCCCTATAGGTTTCTTTGAAAGCACCTCTCTTCATTTTGTACAAGAAAAAAAACTTTTGCCATTAGCTTATGGTGCAAGGACTAAGGGGATAGAGATCTGAAGTTTTGGGCAAGCACTGCAGGGCCAAGGAATAGAAATGGAGAATGAGACTGATTGGATGGTTCTATGGAGAGCCAACACGGACTTGATGCACCAAATGTCCTCCTGAACTGTAATGACTTAATGATCTTGGAATAAAGGCTCAATGTGAAAGTGCACTCGGCGACCACAATTTAATCATTTTGTTAGCTGCAAAGCACTTTGATGTTCTCAGATCAGGAGCGACACTAAATAAATGTGAGACAACAAGGTGCAGGGCTGGATGAACACAGCAGGCCAAGCAGCA